TGGTCTTTATAATTGGCTTTACTATACTTTTTTCAAACCACAATTTAAGTTACAACATACACTTGTGTAATATGTTTTTTTTTTCCTATTAATAGGCAGTTTAGCCTGATATATTAGCAATGAAAAACATAATGTTACCCATATTCATTAGTTAAATGATTTATTGTTTAATCAACAAATTATTATATGTATCATTATATTCCTTTACCACAAATATTATTGACCAGTGTAATTACTTATAATTTTCTGATTTTCTAACTGTTGCTCGAATCCTTTTTATCCCTCTATTTATGTTGCTGTTGCTGCTGCTGCACCATTCCTTGCTTGGTTTTTGGTCTTGTGTTATGATTTATTTTAACACTTGACACCCAATAGAAAGGGCAGGAGGAAGTATGATGGTAGTAGTAGTAGTGTGAAGATTAACACTAACAAGAACGATGATGATTCTTATAACACTGAACACGAATCACTTTTACTGAAGAGGTGAGATCACCGCGCACGATGTTAAATTCTACTTAATACTAACAACTTTTCATATTGTATATTCTCTACATAGTTGGCTATTTTCTCATTCAGTAGCCTGTTCAAAAAACATTATTGAATTATTCCATATTCTGAACTGCTAGTAACAATAGATATTCCGATATTTAAATGAGCAAAAATAATTCATATCAGTATTTTTATTTTTGGGAAGCAGTTTTATAATGAAAACTCAATATAATAAAATGTTCTGCACATTTCGTTGTCTATTGTGTGCATATCATCAGCTTTATAGGTGAATGATGATTAGACAATTGACTTGCTGTTTAATGTATGACAAAACAAAACAATCACAAAAAATAAAAAGCAATAATACTGTAAATCACTTCAATCTCATGACAGTAAAATTTTGTAAAATTGCAAATTGATTTGTCGTAACACAGAAACTCGCAAGATAAACAAAAATAAAAGCATTACAATGCAATAATACTGTAAAATGTGATAATTTTGTGACAGGAAGATTTTAGCAAAATTGCCAAATATTGTAAAGTGAAGCCTTCGCTTAAGAACACTGTTAGCTGTCAGTTCCTGCAAACAATACAGGTATTGACACATATCATCAACTTTCAGAAAGCTTGAAAGTCAAATTGAAATGAAACTTTGAAGCTGAGTTAATAATTGAAATGAAGTAAGAACAAAAAATGGAAGTATTTACAAAAAAAAATTATCCTCTTACAAACTTATTTCTGTGAAAACATAAAAAATAGGACAAAAATGTTGAATAAAACTTACCATGCATTATCTGCATTCTGCTTCTGTGATAGAAACACATAATCGATATTTTAATAGGCAAACTAGGACAATAGAATTTTGAACAGTCTGAAAGTCTGTTCTTTTTAATGTGCTAGGCAAAACATAGAATCTACAAAAGAGTCACCAATTAAAGATAAAACAAACATTACTAGCTTAGATTCACTACACTATTACACAAATTTCCATATGATTATGAACATGTTAGGGAGATGCAGAGTATTGCTGTCTCCAGTGATTCTTAAGATAAACTAAAATAAAGTTAATAGCCTTGAAAAGTGGATGAAAAAACGATTCTTCTTAGCTTGGGTGCATAGTTTTGATCTATAATTAATATCATTGCAAATAGTTCCTGTCAGAATGTATCAAATACGTTGTGTTCCTATATACCTTCATGAAATTATGGTAGCATTAGGTTCCTCTCTAATTGCAATTGCTAACCGTGTATTTTCCTGACTTTTGTAAAATTTCATGATCACTAATGCTCTTAAATTTCCAATCGTCAAAAATTTATAGCAGATGAAAATTTAACAGGTTACTATTTGTGAATTTATGTACATCAGTTAGTGTAATTGAAACAGACTTATTTCCATGATACAACAATTAATTAAATGAGAAACAAAAACATGATATTAAGATGTTCTTCTATATTATGTCTAGTCCACCTGCAGCTTTACATAGTGATGAGGAGGATAGTGCAGAGTCTTCTGAAGAAGAAGATGCTGATGTCCCTGAACCTGGTGCTACAGAACATGTTGAGAGGTTAGTAATGTTTGCCATTCCCTAGCAGGGATTGTGTTAGCATTTTAATTTAGCAAATGCCCACGAGAGTTGACAATATTTTTGATGTGTCTTTAATCACAAATGGAAACCTTTCTTGTTTCGAAATGGGGCTTGGGTAAGCAGTGTTTGGGGTTAACACGCAGTCCCTGGTCCTCAGTGATAATGTGTGGTGCATGTATTGTAACATATTGTTGTCATCCAGAGTTATGGGAAACCAGATATGTAATTGTATATTACAGCGTATGACATGGTGGGAGTATGTATAAATCCTCAGCAGTCGCTGGGTTGATGTGGCTTGTTAGCTGTTGTATATATCTGGTAGTGTTGCTTATGTGTGGGTTTTGAATGCGAATGCAGCATCCAGCATCATCAATATGGTGAAACCACATTGGCGGTGCTGAATGTTACGTTACATGGAACGTAAACTTCAATTGACCTCACTGTGATGACGCATACATTGTGGAATACGGAAAAAGAGCCTGAAGTATGCACACTGCATACATAACAAAGTTAGGGATGACATCAAAAGATCGATGTCGGATAAAAAACTTAATTGCTTTAGTTTGGGGGTGGGGGGTTTTGACCTCAAAAAGTTTCCATCCTACAAAAAGATTTTATTTTTTAATGAAGTCAAAAAAACTTTGGAGTATTTGTAGTTCGTTTTTTTTTCTATCCAATCATAGACAAAAATAACAGAAAATGAAAAAAAACAAACATCCAAGACGAGAAAATGGTTTGGTCCGAGTGTAAATATGTGCGTCAAATGAGGTCAACTTCAGGGCATGGACCTAGAGCATGCGCGGAACTCAGAAAAGTAGTTTGTGCATGCGTATATTCTGCTTCATTATTACAACTAACTGCTATGCCATACTACTGTCCGATTATCAATTTGTATTTAATGGTGAATGTAGTCTGACGCCATGATCAATATTTATCAATTAAGTTTCAGTGGGGGGTTTTGGGAAAAAAATAAAAGAATTAAGTTTTTTATCCGACATCGATCTTTTGATGTCGTTCCCTATGACATAGACATATCTCATGAATATTATTTGAAAGTGAAATTATTAATAGAAAGCATTTAGTATGAAATTCCGGAATCACGTAAAACTCCGGAATCACGTAAAACTCCGGAATCACGTAAAACTCCGGAATCACGTATATTCAGTTTTGACCCCCACTCTGCATGTCTATTGTGGTTATTTGAAAACTGTAAATGCCTTCAATCATACTAAACTAGTCACCAAATTCAACAACTACATTTTTGTTTCACACTGTCAAATCTAAATGAGCTACGACAAGCCTAAATAGGTCTCAATTGTATACAACGCCACCAGTGGCTGTTCTGGCTTCATGCATCTAGTGTAGAAGTGTGCAGCTGGGCTGGTTGTGACCACTCAAGCAGTGTGTAACAGCTGTAATCTGCTTCAATGTATGTGTTTAAGGTCAGAATTATGACAGCGAGGATATATGGCTCATTTTGGTGACTGTAAGACATTATGTTGTGTGATAATGTTCAGAAAGCAAATGATGAGATGCTGGTTGTCAAGTGAAATACGATTCTAGTTTAAAGTATTTCACAGAATTCCTGCATCAAGTACCTGTGGTTGCTCACATTACAGTGATTATACTAACCATGCAGTTACCATATCAAATGGAATCACCT